CTAGGGCAAATACACTGAATGGTACTGTTCTGAAGGAAAAAAGGTTTGCTAAGATCAAACCTTACTGCAATGAAAATCAATAAAATCAATCCTTACTAGCTACAAGTACAAATTCATATGAATATCCGTTGTCGAGTTCCCTGGGTGTTCTCGGTATAAATAAACAATAGCCTCCATTTGTTGCGAAAATGTGCTCGGATATTTGTCCGCGGACATTATCTGTTCCTAGAAGCGAACAGTTTTCCGAGAGCGTAGCTCGAGGAAAACCGTGAGCTTCGAGGAACAGATAATGTCCAAAGACAAATATCCGAGCACATTTTCGCGCCAAATGGAGGCTACTGTGTTTATTATTCTTCAAATCTTTTTCGCAACGCGCGCAGTTTTGAAAATTGAGGAATATTCTCGGATATTCCCTAGCTTTAGCAGGGAATATTCGGTCACGTGACGCGTTTAGACCAATCGCGCGCGAGCGAAAATATTTGATGGATTATAATGGTCTATACTAGGAGACTGCCCGAAAGGGGTACCTTTTTGAGGCTTCAGGTATATTAAAGGGTAGGAATGAACGGGTAGGGAAATCTGTCATCTTGACTCCCGGTACAACGTGAACTGAGCAAATATTGGTTTTTGGATTCACATCTCTTGTGGTAATGCTTGATGTTCTCCCGCAATATTGTTCATTAACATCATTTAGAGGGTTTACAAAAGGGATGCAGCGTTCTTTAGTGGGTATGTAAAAGGAATACCTTTTTTCAATTAAAGGTATATGATAGAGCTGCCTTTTCTGTGAAAATGGTATTCAAAAGGGTAAGGGGTTGGACCTCGGGTTGGAGCCTTCCCAAATAAAGCTTTGGAGAGTACTTCGAGTTTGTTTTAATTGAAAAGTAACTGAACAAGTTACAAAACATGTGAACACCATGCAAGGAAATCAACAATAAGGTTTTCATCTGTAGTCACTTGTCGTGTCAGATAACAGAACGTTAGAAATAACAATAAAAAGGAATTCAAGAGCGAGTAAGAGAACAAACAGGCCTTCAAAATTTCATACCCGGGTCTTACTCTGCCTAACACTTGGCCGTAGGGAATCTGGATTTGCTCACGATCCCTATTCAAAATTATTAGAATAGAATATAAAAGAATCCTTACTACCGGTTTGGTTACGCTGTCTAAGGCAACTTGCTGCTACCTAAGGAGATACTCTCTGTCCTCCCTGTTTGGTTGCACAGTATAAGGATCTCCCTGGCGTTCTTACGGCATTCGTCTCCTATACTGCACTGTTTAAAAGCTTGATAAACGTTTGCCAAGTTGTTGTAGCTTGCTGCTACAGCTGCGTGTACCTCGCCGAAAATCTTTTTCCTGATGATTAGTGCCTTCTCGTGGTATTCTTTGGCTTGATTGTACTGTCCAAGATCCTGATAAACACCTCCCAAGTCGTTATAGGTTGCTGGGACATTAGCATCTTCGTCGTCGAAAATCTTTTTCCTGATGATCAGTGCCTTCTCGAGGTATCCTTTGGCTTCATTGTACTGTCCAAGAGATTGATAAACAGTTTCCAAGTTGTTATAACTTGTTGCGACATCACCATACTACTCCCCGAAAATCTTTTTTCTCGATGATTAGTGTTTCTCGTGACATTCTTTTGTTTCATTGTACTGTCCAAGAGCTTGATAAACATTTCCCAAGTTGTTATAGCTTGCTGCGATATTAGCATGTTCCTAGCCGCAAATCGTTTTCGTGATGATCAGTGCCTTCTCGAGGTATTCTTTTGCTTTATTGTACTGTCCAAGAGCTTGATAAACGTTTG